TCATTTGCAAATATTTTACTTCATATTGATAGTTTTACCAAATAATACCTTAATATTATTATATTATTTATTACTGCGTATGATTTAGGCAGTAGTATTGTAAGTAAAAGACTGTGCCTTCATGTGCCATGCTTACGCATTCGCACCGTTGTGAAAACCCCCGCTACGGGTACAAGTTAGCCCGAAATCCTATCCGCCGAAAGTGTGTTAATTAGTTACGACATTGATAGCTTCACCATCCTCGAAATTCACTCTGGAGACATATTTTTTTGGCCAAAAATTTTTGGAAATAACCGATAGAACCAATGTTGCAAAGTGGCCCTTTGGTTAAAAATTGCCATAATTGACAAGATTAATATGAAACAATTATTTTGTATTTCCTACTTAATTTTACCGAAATCGATTACTTTTCACAGATTTTAAAACTGTATGTATAAACATAAGTTTTCGTTAGACAAAAAATATCATCACCAAGAAATCGTTTAAAAAATCATAAATAGAACAACTAAAAAAACTAGGTTATTTCGCACTAAACAATAATGAACTTTAGTTTAATAGGTTTTAGAAAAAATCTATTTTCAGCTAGTTTATTCTATAGAAATTCTATAAATAATATAGCAAATTTCGAATTTTAGACAGTAAAAAATAAATGAATTGCAAAATACAGAGTGTAATGACTATAAATAATAATTATACAAGATCCTGAAAAACAAACGTACAAACGAAAATTCAGATTTATTTTACTTTTCATTCTATATATATACGAGTATATATGTTCGCGTTTATTATTTAAGTGAAAATATGAAATCGCCAAGAAAGTTTTAAAAAAGTATCAGTGAGACTACAATTATCTCCAAAATACTTATTATCAAAGTACCAAAAAAAATTTAATTTTATTTTAATAAAAAATTAACTAAGCTCTGGTTTTCCTAGAAAAATTGCATTTCCATCTATTTTGTCTTAATTTTCTATCTGCTGCTATTATTATTTAGGCAAAACTTTGAATTTCTGAAGAAAACCTTCAAGCAAATCACTGTAAGACTAAAAAGTTTTAAGCAAAAAAATGTAATATGCTTTTGAAAAATAGTAGACAAAACTTTGTCTTCAAGTTTCTGAAAAATTCTATTTTCAAAAAACTTTTCCTTATCAATTCTATTTGCTGCGCATTTATTGTTTCATTAGGCGTGTGCAGTGATAAGGAACTTATATTTGATTTAGTACTTATCATATTTGCAATAGAAAATCCAATGACTAATATCCTGTCTGAATAGATACTAATTTAAACTATTTTCTATAGCAAAATCATGTCAGTTTACACCAAGACTAGCTCTGGAATAGACATTTTACTAAAAACTAGTTTTCAAGATTTGGAAGTTTCAATTTCCACGTCATCATATAAGTTGATTTGCTTTTGGCAAGGTGAGTCGAATATAATTTTACTGAAATCTATTAATTATTTTAAGAACAAGTTGTTTGGTATTGCTTTTTCACCATTATAATATTATTCCTTGCAATTTAATAGTATACGGAAATGTTCCTTTCACTAACAAACTGATTTAAATCTTTGTGTTTACTTTGCCAAAAATTGGACTGATTCGCGAAATTACTTAAAATTTGATCTTAATTTTCCGAAACTAAATAAAATATATTGATCAAATTTTGTCATTTAACAAAGAACTCATTCCATTGACAGTGCATAATTATTTTGGACTAAATACAGTATTATTTTATATATAAGATTAACCAAAACCACCATGAACAATATTTGGTACTTCGTCATCTTGGCAGTTCTCATGAACTTGGTGAATGGAGATTTTGATAGACCAGGTAATGTAAATTCCTGATACTTCTTTGATCATTAGCATAATAATATTAATTATTTAACTAAATTGTTATCGTTTGACAATAATTATAGTTCAAGATGATGTAATAGTCACTGATGTGGATTGCACTACAAATGAGGAATGCCAAAATTTATGCCAACAAGAAGAATATGAAGGATCTTCAGGACTTTGCTTTTCGAAAAACCAAAAATGCATATGTAAGAGTTATCATTATATGTTTATTATCAAAATATCCAAGTCATTTTAAAAAAATCCCAATTGAACATTATTGGAAGTGATAGTCAACTTTTTCGTGACAACACGATTTTTTTAATAGCTAGAAGCACAATAAGTGTCTTTGTCCTAAACAATTTGTCACGAGAAAATTTGGTAGATTATTCACCATCAAATTTAAGAACAGCATTTTTCTTTTCAATTTGACGATTTTGGTAGAGAAGTCGTAACAATTTTCCATAACTCCGGGTTTTCTTTAAATAAAGTGATGATTTACAAGAAATGCCAACATGATGTTTTCTAAATTGTGTTTTTGTCCTAAACAATTTGTCACGAGAAAATTTGGTAGATGATTCATCATCAAATTTGGGAACAGCATTTTTCATTTCGATTTGACGATTTTGGCAAAAAAGTCGTAACAATTTTGCATAACTCAAAGTTTTCTTTAAATGAAGTGATGATTTACAAGAAGTGCCAAAATGATGTTTTGTATATAGTGTCTTTGTTTTAAACGATTTGTCACGAGAAAATTTGGTAGATTATTCACCATCAAATTTAGGAACAGCAATTTCCTTTTCGATTTGACGATTTTGGCAGAAAAGTCGTAACAATTTTCCATGACTCAGAGTTTTCTTTAAATGAAGTGATAATTTGAAAAAAGTGCCAACTTGATGTTTTCTATATAGTGTTTTTGTCCTAAACACTTTGTCACGAGAAAATGTTGTACATTATTTACCATCAAATTTGGGAACAGCATTTTCCTTTTTAGTTTGACGATTTTGGCAAAAAAGTCGTAACAATTTTCCATAAGTCAGAGTTTTCTTTAAATATCAATATTCAGATAATAGACGACAGGAAAAATCTACATCAGGAAAATCAAAACTGGATCAAAATTGTTCTAGATTATTTCACATATTTGTTTAAAGATGTTCACAAATTGTCAACAAGTAGTTTTTTTGAATTGATCCATAATCTGTAGCTACTATCTATCCAATAATACTAAAAGAAATTTTTAATTACTTTACGAATTTTAATTATTTTTAAGAATTTTTGACCAAGACTTAGTTTATAGACCTTTGACTTTCCCTTAGTTGTCTGATTGCCATCAAATTATTAGTTGTTTCACTTAAAACAAAAGTGTCAATAAAATAATATTTGGTAGATTATTCACCATTAACTTTGGGAACAGCATTTTTCCTTTCGATTTGCCAACATGATTTTTTAAAACCAGTTTTATTTTTATCAAAATCTGAAAAATCAGGGATAAAAATTTCAGAATTGTTCTATAATTTATACTATCCAGTCAAATATAAAAAGAGTTTGATTATCTAATCAGAAGAATTTCTACCAAGTTGAGCATTTAAATCTTGGTCTACAACCAGTTTTTTGTACAAAATCCTAAAAATCAAGGTTCAGAAGTTCCAGAATTGTTCTATAATTTATACTATCCAGTCAAATGCAAAGAGAGCTAGATTATCTAATTAGAGCAATTTCTACCAAGTTGATCATTTAAATCTTGGCCTTAAACCAGTTTTTTATATAAAATCTTAAAAATCAAGGTTCAGCAGTTCTAGAATAGTTCTATAATTTATATTATCCATTCTAATACAAAGTGAGCTAGATTATTTAACCAGAAAAATTTCTACCAAGTTGAGCATTTAAATATTGGTCTAAAACCAGTTTTCTATACAAAATCTTAGAAATCAAGGTTCAGAAGTTCCAGAATTGTTCTATAATTTGTACTATCTAACCCATGATACTAAAAGAGCTAGATTATCTAACCAGATAATTTTTTACCAAGTTGAGCATCTAAATCTTGGTATAAAACCAGTTTTTTATATAAAAGCCTAAAAATCAAGATTCAGAAGTTCCAGAATATTTGTATAATTTGCACGAGTCTAATACAAAGTGAGATAGATTATCTAACCAGAAGAATTTCTACCAAGTTGAGCATTTGAATCCTAGTTTAAAACCAGTTTTGTTTTTTCAGCAAAATCTAAATAATCAAAATTTTTTTTCCAGGATTGTTCTATAATTTGTACTATCCAGTCAAATATGAAGAGAACTTGATTGTTTAACCAGAATAATTTTTACCAAGTTGAGCATTTATATCTTGGTCTAAAACCTGTTTTTTATACCAAATCCTCAAAATTCAAGGTTCAGAAGTACTAGAATTGTTCTATAATTTATACTATCCAGTCAAATACAAAGTGAGCAAGATTATCTGACCATAAGAATTTCTACCAAGTTGAGCATTTAAATTTTGGTCCAAAACAAGTTTTTTCAGATTCCTAAAAATCAAGGTTCAGAAGTTCCAGCATTGTTCTATAATTTGTACTATACAAGTCTAATACAAAGTGAGCCAAATTATATAACCAGAAGAATTTTTTTTACCAAGTTGAGCATTTAAATTTTGGTCTAAAACCAGTTTTTATACAAAATCCTAAAATTCAAAATTCAGAAGTTCCATAATTGTTTTATAATTTATACTATCCAGTCAAATACAAAGAGAGCTTGATTATGTAAACAGAATAATTTCTACCAAGTTGAGCATTTAAAAATCTTAGTCTAAAATCAGTTTTTATCGAAATCTTAAAAATCAAGGACAAAAATTTCAAAATTGTTCTATGATTTGTACTATCCAGTCAAATACAAAAAGAGCTAGATTATCTAACCAGATAATTTTTTACCAAGTTGAGCATTTAAATCTTGGTCTAAAACCAGTTTTTTATACAAAATCCAAAAAATCAGGGTTCAGAAGTACCATAATTGTTCCATAATTTGTACTATCCAGTCAAATACAAAGAGAGCCAGATAATCTATACAGAAGAATTTCAACCAAGTTAAGCATTTAAATCTTGGCCTAAATTTCATATGAAATCCTAAAAATCAAGGTTCTGAAGTTTCAGAATTGTTCTATAATTTTTACTATACAAGTCTAGTACAAAGAGAGCTAAATTATATAACCAAAAACATTTTTTACCAAGTTGAGCATTTAAATCTTGGTCTTAAACCAGTTTTTTATACAAAATCCAAAAAATCAGGGTTCAAAAGTACCAGAATTGTTCCATAATTTGTATTATCCAGTCAAATACAAATAGAGCCAGATTATGTAACCAGAAGAATTTCTACCAAGTTAAGCATTTAAATCTTGGCCTAAATTTCATATAAAATCCTGAAAATCAAGGTTCTGAAGTTTCAGAATTGTTCTATAATTTATATTATCCACATCTGGTACAAAAAGAGCTAGATTATCTAACCAAAAGAATTTCTACCAAGTTGAGCATTTGAATCTTGGACTAAAACCAGTTTTTTTTTATATAACATCCTAAAAATCAAGGTTCAGAAGTTTCAGAATAGTTCTATAATTTATACTATCTAGTCTAATACAAAGGGAGCTAGATTATTTAACCAGAAGAATTTCTACCAAGTTGAGCGTTTAATTCTTGGTATAAAACCAGTTTTATATACAAAATCCTAAAAATCAAGGTTCAGAAGTTGCAGAATTGTTCTATAATTTATGATTATTTCACCAAAGCAATTTTTTCCAGAGACGAGTTAAATAGCGAAATCTTCGTCTAAGACGAAGTCTTAGACGAAGATAGTCTTTTGATCAAAATCAGAAAAATTAGGAACCAGAAAATTTTTCAAACATTTTCCTATAACGATCCAAGTAAAGACGAAAGAGCAATCGTTAAGCAAAAGATTTCACTTATGAATACGATAAATATAATCTTGAAAAAGTGGTTTAATAAATTATTACTAAAAGGTATATACTTTTTATTAAGGTAAGAAGAATGTCCCAAGGCCAGCTGAAGATATCCAGTTGGTAGAAGTTGACTTCACCTGTCTTTATGACAACGAATGCAAACATAAATGCAAATCTTTGAACTATAATAGAAGAGGAGCAACTTGTGAAATTGGAATTACTGGACAAAATCCTAAGAAATGCAAATGTAAGTAGAAGACAAATTTGGATTTATCAACTACACACTAAAAATATGAAAAAATGTTAATTGAAGTACCTACACTGCTTATTTATTTGACAAATTTTGGTGGCTTTGTCATACAATTTACCAATTCACTAGAACATGATGGTGGTAAGTATATGAAGATTTTTAAATATGATGCGCGGTAAATATAAGATTTTTAAACTATTGCCATTATTTCTAATTTAAAAGTAAAACTCTAGGAAGTAGTATATTGATATTGGTAACCAAATCGATTTTTTTAAGGTCCTCAATTAAAAGGAGACAAAACTGTTCAAATTTTCAAGAAATGCAATGGCATCCACGACTGTTTGCACGAATGTGAAGCATTAGGATATTCTAGAGAAAAAGCAGTGTGTTCATATTTTGATGAAAATAATAACAGGTGCAAATGTGAAATGAACTAAGTTGGAAAATCGATATATGCGAGATGACATAAAAATATTATAAATGTAATTTAAACCCTGAATAATATCCAGAAATATATGTATTTAATAAAGAGCATTTGAACAAAAATATGTTGCAATTTTATTACTTGATTTAGAATTAAAATATGTAATTTGACTACATTAATTTCGTTGTAATAGTGCAGTGAATGGTGAGGAAAAAAGTATGTCTAATTATTTTTTTACTGTGCTCCAATTTGCATGAAATTTTAGAAATAGGCTAATCTTACCCTCAAGTTTAGAAGTGAAAATAATGGTGGTGTAATTTTATTTTTTCAAAATGACGTCATATATCGATAAAAAAACTTTCAGTAAAGTGAGATGATATCAAGATGGTATATATTTAATAAATCAGTTGACGTATCCATTATTGATACATTTTTATTATTTTATTTTTATATTTTATTTGACTGAAAAAACCTCTCACTTGAAATATACTTAAAGCTACTTTTTCAAGTTCAAGTTTTAGTTTTCTACTGATTTGATTAACCGATTTCAAGTTTGATATCAAATTTTAAACCAGGTGCATGCAAGACCAAAGCTCTTACCACCGAGCCACTGCAAGAACATCTTCAATACGATCAAGAAATATTATTATACCATTTCAAATGAATACTATTTATTTTATATAACTGATTTCTCAAATAATATCAAAGTTCTAATTGAATTTTTCTGACACAATTTTCAAACAAATAAAATTTCTGCAAGCATCAAGCTTAGAACTAAACTATATAGCACATTTATAAAATAATTTTGTTTAAAAACCTTAAAAATCTCAACATTATTACATTAATACAATGATTACAAAAATTAACACTCAATTTCTTACTATTTTAAATTTCTATTGAGAATTTTCAATTGACAAATTAATCAATTTTTAATAGATGATTAAATTTTAAATGGATTAAAATCGGTCAAAATATCTTCGAATACTGTTTAAAAAATAAATAATTATAAATGAAAAATTTAGTAATTTAATACTTTGAAATGTAAAAAATATGTTGCGTAAAGCCAAAATATAAAAAAAAATTACGAATATTTTGTAATAAAAATGTTATATAAAAAAATTCATGACATAATTATTTGCCCATCGCAAACAATATTAAAAAAATATTTTTTTGGATTTAACTGTATATAAACATAAAATTAAACGCAGTCACAAATAAAATTTAGCAAAAATCTACTAATAGTTTTTCAAAATGGCAAAATATTTGTGCGTTGGAGTTCTTCTATTGATGGCCATTATCCTGCAAGTTCAATCTATGGCTTTGGATCCAAATGAAGAAAATACTGATGGAAGTGAGTATAATATTTAACTAAAATATGATAATATTTTATTCGATAATTTGGGTTACCTAATCTTTGGACATATGTTCATTTCATCCTGAAGGAGGCAACTGATGGCAACAAGGCGTTTACCTAATTTTACAGATTGTTGTCAGATTGCCTGAATTATTTTAGAAGAATTGATTGTATAACACACCGTATTAGGTGAAGAAATATAAAATCTAGAAGGAACCGCAATTTTTTTTCATTCAAAATAGTTGCCCTCGAGGATGATATAACGATTATAACAAAGTTCCAACCTTTCGATACCATTTTTGCAGTCGATTCGTTGTTTGGCTTAAAATTCATTAATTACCTCTTAATTCGAGGAAAATTTCTTCAAGACAAACATCTTTTTGAAATCAGAGAACATGAAATAGTCGCCAGTTGCCAGATCTAGAAAATACGATGGGTGGGAAAGCAATTCCTAGCTCAATTCATGTATTTTTGCCATTGTTTCACAGATTTGTGACATAGTTTGTATAAAGCAATTTTTCTCAATTTGGACTGTCAAATGCTGCAAAAACGTTATAGTCATTGTTGATGGCCTTTCTCAAGATAGTCTATGAAGATCATTTCTAGCTAATCCCAAAAATCTGACTCCAGCTGATTGTTTAGATTTTTCCTCGTTCATCGTGTCTATATACTTCGCCAGGTCTCATCTATATTCCATATCGATGCAAAAACTCAGTTTTATTTCGAACAGCTCCAAGAACTCCTAACCATCAATTCGCAAATCCTTCCATTGATATCTTTGAGGCATCAGCTATCTAAATTAACTTCACTTCGTTGTCATTAAATATTCTACAGATTTTTTTAAATACTTTCGTCGGCAACCTTCATTTTTGGGCATCCACACAGTTTTCAATGAATTTCAGAACATAATTTCCTATGGCTTTTTTTCCATAAAAAAGAGTGCGCGTAAGTTTCACACGCGATTGAAGTAAAACTTATTTGCTAATGTACAATTTTGAATAATGTTTATTAGCAATATGGTAACACTCGTTATTCACACATTTATTAGTGTCAACCCAACCATTTTATGCACATTTATATAACGGTAAATTATAAATTATATTTATAATAGCATTAAATATATGTATAATATTAAAAAATAATAATAAAATAAAATAAATAAAGTTAAAGTCATACTTCAAATATGACATGATCGGTTTGTTATTGTAATTAGCATTTAGAAATGAACCTTCATTAGAGAAATTAAGTAATTGCTGATTAATAAATTCCTTACTATTTGTTCTCACAGTGGATTATGTTAAACAACTCCTAAACAAATACTGTCACTCATCATGTAATTGTGTTTGAAAAACTTCATGTAATTAAAATTAACATACATTCATTGACTGCTTGTATTTTTTTTACTTTTTCGCTGACGATATAATCTCATTTTTATTGTTTTATTGTTTTATTATTTTCAAGGAACAGTGTAAAATATTCTTCTGATTCAGGCATTTTTCATTAAATCAAGATTGGTACTATAATGTAACTTTAAAATGTTTATCTATGCCGATTTCCTGGTTAATATCGGTACGCATACAACGTTGATGCCGGTACGCATACTACGACATATCTCTATTCACATACACGACAACTAATAACAATCGACCCGTATTGGAATGATTTCATCGAGAGCAAATGACTAACAGTTCGGGCGTAACGGATTTCCGTTGCATTTGTACGGATTTATTCCCTAGTCGCGCCTAAAGAAGTTTCACTTTAATAATATTTTTTTCTAACGTTTAATTATTTTTCTCAGATGCTGCTGGTAGGGCCAAGAGATACCTCAAATACCATGATTCAAAAAGAAGATGCGAAGATATCTGGGATTGTGAGGGCAAGTGCCCAGATAATTTCCCAAATCCAGTTTGCTTCCCAAGAGATAACAGAAGAACATGTTTATGTGAGTTTCTTGAATTTTTATATTTATTTGCACTAAAAGAATTTGATCAAAAATATATTGCCAAGTAAAAATAGCCCTTCCTGGTATTCATGATAAAAATTAAAATATCATCAGAATTAGAACAGAACAACTATTAAAAGTTGCTCTCTAATAATTCAAGAAGCAAGTGGTACTTTGCTTCAAGGCATGAATTTCCCAATGTGTACTCGTATAATAGTAGACTTAATCAATATAAGAATGGTGATTTAGCATCCCTAATTAGTAGTAGATATTTAATTTTTATTAATTTTTTTTATTAAATTAAATTTTTTAAATTGCAGGTTACGAGGCACATGTTAAAGGATGAGCTCCAAGGTCCAAAATGAAGACCCTTAATAATTATTATTACACTTTAACATTATATTGTTAAAACTAATTTTGAAAAATTTTCTACTTTTGTTATTGGCAGTTAGTGATTGTTCAATAATTTGTTGATGAATAAAAATTTGATGCATAATTAGTATTTTATGAACTTGTAGTGATTAATGAACATGGGTCAGCACAAACTAGTCTCGGAATTGTTCTCAACCTCGGATAGGTCGATGTCAAGCAGTATGATTACAAATTTCCTCTTTATATTATAGATCTCAAATAAAATCTAGTGAAAATTTGCCTTTCGTGGCCATTGCAATACATACACGTCAACACTATTAGATATAAGTGAAAATTTAATATATAGTCGACACTTAAAGTGAGTGGTTGACCACTGGGTTGCACTCTAAAAAAAAAGCTAGATTAGAATGTATGATAGCAACCATAGCTCTTAGAACGCGCAATTCCAATCAATGTTAAAAAAAAGATTAATAAAAAAATTTAAACTAGTAGTGCATGGCATTTTGAACTATATAAGAAAAACTTCGGACATTTTTGAAAATTTTATTGAAGCCCAATATTCACTTTCAATATAATTTTTTTTTAACTTCGCGTAGGGTAAGTTATTGTAATCGTCCAAAAATCGAAATTGAAATTTTTTACTTTTCTTTACGCTTTGAAGGTTTCTGAATATTTTGGCATACCTCAGAAAAAATGGATGTATGTGTGTGTGTGTGTATGTATATGTACGGATACAGTTTTTCGTCCACGTTTACGGGCGCACGGATCAACCGTTTTCAATAGTTGAAAAAACATTCGATTTCTATTGATAGGGAGATGTGCTGATTTTTGGCAAAGGCAGGTTCAGCCGTTTAGGAGATACAGAGCTAAATGTGCAAAAAATGGCAGTTTTTTGCGTCCGATTTGAATGATTCAAAGAACTTTCTGCTTGTTTTAACAAAATAATTGCTTTTGGAAAAAAAAATTGTTCCAATTTTTGATATTTTGGATTTGTCTATCGAAAATAATTCAGATTTTAATTGTAATTCTGACTTAAGTTTTAATATACTTTAAACAAATATTTTCAACTTTGCAATTCAGTTTATATAATTCTTATAAATATTAGATAATATTACGATATTTATAATAATCTATTTTAAATATTTAATATTTCTCAAACATTTCGTTACGGTACGGGAAGTTCCAGCAATTTGTCTTAAGGCACGATGCCATACACACAACAAAAACTAATCATTTCTTCAATACAAGAAAAATGTTTTTGAATCATTCATTCCGTTTTCACAAAGACTCTTACATTTTGTTCAGTATTTCCAAAACGGATAGACCCGCCTTTGCCAAAAACTAATCAGCATGTTGTCGCATCAATACGAATCGAATGTTTTTTTGAATAATTCAAATCAGTTGATCCGCGCTTTCTAAATTGTGGACGAAAATTTGTATCCAAACATACATATACACAAATACATATATTATTTAATATTTTCAGTAGATCATGAAACGTAAACATATGCAAAAAGTTTCATTTTCAATTTTTTTTGAGATTACTATAAATTACTCTAGGGAAACTTGGAAAAAAGTAACTATATTTGCATGAGAACGAAACAATTTTTTTAAGGAGGAAAATCCTCAACTGAATATTAATTTTATGGTAAAACATATTACTTACAAGTTCCACTTTAATTTCTTACTCTTCTTTTAATCAAAATATATTGAATGTGAAAAATTCCATAAAAACTATCAAAAAATCTTCATACTGTTTCCAGTATTCCAGAAATAAAAATGAAAAAAAAAACTAAATTTACGCAATTGAGTTTCGAAAGACAATCTTCTGAAACAATTTTCTACAAATTTCGTAAAATGTTAAATAAAAAATCAATGAAATATATTTGTTTGTTTGCATACGACAAACAATATTAATCAATTTTTATTTAGATTTCGGAGTATATAAATAGAAATTTAATTACGAATCATAGTCACAAATAAAATTAAAAAACAAGAGGACTAATAATTTTAATATGGCAAAATTTTTGTGCGTTGGAATACTTCTTTTGGGCATTGCTCTGCAAGTTCAATCTATGGCTTTGGACCCAAATCAGGAAAATACAGATAATAGTGAGTATAATATTTAAAAAATATAATTAAATACGAATTTTTTGATTTACCTAATCCCGCAACTTCGTGAGACAACTGGCCCATCTTTTGATTCATACACTGTTGCCAGATTTATAGAATTCTTGAAGAGATGATGGAACGTATGACCCTAAACTTGTCACAAGTCGAATCAAAAATTTTAGTAGAATAATTTGATTGAATAAATATTTTTGAAATTATCAAAATTTTTATTGGCAAATTATGTTTATCAGATGCTGTTGGAAGGGCCAAGAGAGAAGAAATAAAGTACTGGAATACAAATAGAAGGTGCGATGATGTCTGGGATTGTGAAGGCAAATGTCCAAATGATTACCCAAGACCAGTTTGTTTCCCAAGAGACAACAGAAGGATATGTTTGTGTAAGTTAATTAAAATAATTATTACATTTTTTTCAGGTAAAGCATTTGCACTTGAAAATACATAAATCAGAAATATATTCCCAAGCATAAATATACACGTATTTATACTTGCCTTGAGGCAAAAATAATTTTAACAGAAGATAACTCTATGGTTTGCCCTTTATAATAATGGGGATAATAGTTTAATTTTCTGTTTTCTATTATTACATACATTCTATTCTATTATATATACATATATATATATATATATATATATATATATATATATATTATATATATATATATATATTATATATATATATATATATATTATTAAATTGCAGGTTATGAAGCACACATATATGGAAAATAAATTCCAAGAAATGAAACCGTTGTTGACCTGATATTGTTATTACTTCTTGTTATTATTGTTTAAATTTATCATGAAAACTCTTGTTATTGGCAATTAATTGTTAAAATATTCGTTGTTAAATAAAACTGTTATGCATAATATGTATTTTATAATTTCATATTTTATCATGACCATCGTGGTGTAATGGTTAAAAACGTCAGCTCAATATCAAGCAGTATGATATTGATATATTAAAGGTATCAAATTCAATCTAAAGTGCATTTTCGAGAAAATTACTAGTTAGAAGGTACAATAGAAAATCAGCTCCTATTGTTAGAATTTGTATTGCTGATCGATGTTAAGAAAGTGATTATAAAACTAATTATTAGAAAGAATTCTACGAAAAATATTAAATTTTAATACTGCTCAGATAAAAATTTAATATCCTACTAACATGAAATAATAACAGTAGCGCGATCACCTGATACATATTTCTTTTTTTTTCAATAAAATTAATCCTAATCACGAAGGTTTGAAAATGTATTGATTTTATATATATAATTATTTCAACTTTGTTATAAAATTTCCATAGATTTATAAACATTCTTCAAATGTTTATAATTTCATTGATAGTACATAATAAATAAGAATTTTGTTTAAATAACATATATACCAATTAATATGATTCTAAATAAATCGTAAATAACGTTTATTATATATTTTAGACATAAAATTTTAATATGCAAACTAATAAATTAAATTTCTCTCTAATAAAAAGATCTCACTATTACTCCAAAAAATTTTGCCATATTAAAATTATTAGTCCTCTATTGTTTTTTAATTTTATTTTGTGACTATAAATCGTAATTAAAAATCTATTCATATACTACAAAATTTAAATAGAAATTGATTAATATTGTTTGTCGTACGCAAACAAACAAAAATATTTCATCGATTTTTTATTTAACATTTTACGAAATTTGTAGAAAATTGTTTCAGAAGTTTGGATTTCGAAACTTATTTGCGTAAATTCAGATTATTTTTTATTTCATTTTCGTTTCTGAATTACTAGCTAAAATGAATATTAAACTTGTTTTAAAAGATTTCGTAGTTTTAACGTCATTTTTTCTTAATCTTACATTTTTACTTGTTGACCATTTATTTCAGAACACTTGTACGAATTACAATATAATATAATAGAAATAAAAATCTTTTAGTTATATATGTATATTTAATTTTTTTTCATTTTAATTTAGAATATTTAAATTATCTACTATCATTCATTATTCTTCCACATACCACTTTCATGTTTTTGATGCTGGGCAAAATTCTTTTGCCACTTTGGGCCTCCTTCTTGATAAACAACTCATTAAGGATTCCTCCGACGACATCCTTGGCAGCTCCCATAAGTTTATCACCGGCATAACCCATCAACTTTTGTCCGGCACCTCGAAGCAAACCTAAAATTGTCAAAAAAAAATCAGAAAAGGAAATATAAATTTGATAAATTATAAAAATTAGTCATATAAGAGTTTGGTCGTTGAAAAGTTTGGTCATTGAAGAGTTCAGTCGTTGAAGAGCTTGGTCGTTGAAGAGCTTGGTCGTTGAAGAGCTTGGTCGTTGAAGAGTTTGGTCGTTGAAAAGCTTGGGTCGTTGCAAAGCTTGGGTCGTTGCAAAGTTTGGGTCGTTGCAAAGTTGGGTCGTTGCAAAGCTTGGGTCGTTGCAAAGCTTGGGTCGTTGCAAAGCTTGGGTCGTTGCAAAGCTTGGGTCGTTGAAAAGCTTGGGTCATGCAAAGCTTGGGTCATTGCAAAGTTTGGGTCATTGAAAAGTTTGGGTCATTGCAAAGTTTGGGTCATTGAAAAATTCGAGGAATTGGTCATTCGAGGAATTGGTCATTCGAGAAATTGGTCATTCGAGAAATTGGTCATTCGAGAATTGGTCACTCGAGAATTGGTCACTCGATGAATTGGTCATTCGATGAATTGGTCATCGAGGAATGGTCATTCGAGGAATTGGTCATTCGAGGAATTGGTCATTCGAGGAATTGGTCATTCGAGGAATTGGTCATTCGAGGAATTGGTCATTCGAGGAATTGGTCATTCGAGGAATTGGTCATTCGAGAATTGGTCATTCGAGGAATTGGTCATTCGAGGAATTGGACATTCGAGGAATTGGACATTCGAGGAATTGACATTCGAGGAATTGGACATTCGAGAATTGGACATTCGAGGAATTGGTCATTCGAGGATTGGCATTCGAGGAATTGGACATTCGAGGAATTGGACATTCGAGGAATGGACATTCGAGGAATTGGACATTCGAGGAATTGGACATTCGAGGAATTGGACATTCGAGGAATTGGACATTCGAGGAATTGGACATTCGAGGAATTGGACATCGAGGAATTGTCACTCGAGGAATTGGTCACTCGAGGAATTGGTCACTCGAGGAATTGGTCACTCGAGGAATTGGTCACTCGAGGAATTGGTCACTCGAGGAATTGGTCACTCGAGGAATTGGTCACTCGAGGAATTGGTCACTCGAGGAATTGGTCACTCAGGATTGGTCACTCGAGGAATTGGTCACTCAAGAATTGGTCGTTTAAAAATTCCTTTACAGATTTAGTGTGATCATAAATGTGATCGTTTAAAGATTTCGCCATCTAAAGATTTGATCATACTTTATTTGTACAATTAACAAAAAATAATTTCAATAGAGAACTGTTATAAAATCAGTACTTTTTTTTCAGAAAAAAATTTAAACTTATATTCCAACTTAATATTCCACTTTGAATTTTAATGAGCTTATGCCAAATGCATATTTGAAAAGCTGTTCTCTATACTTTTATAATTTTTTTAATATTAATATATGCAAAATACTTCAGCAAAATTAAAAATATTTATCAATTATGATAAAAAGTATGATAAATAATTTGAAAAATTTAATCAAATATGTATTGACCATAATTACCAATTCTAATTATTATTATTACTAAAATAAGTGTAAATTACTCACCTTCGAAGTTGCCGGCTCCTCCACCATTCTGGTCAAATCCAAAACCGCCATTTCAGGGGTTTTTGCACAATTTTTTACACAATCACCAATATATGTCCATTATTATAAGATAGTGTCACTATTCACTTACACATTACACTGGAAATTCAAAATTTAAAATTTACACTTAAAAAAAAAAAAATTTGATAAGAATTTTGCATATATATTATTTATTTGTAGAACCCATAAAAAACATTTATGTACGAAAAATCTTCAACTGAGGTAAAAGTATTTAGTTTATTTAAAAAACAGAGACTATTGCTGACGATAATATAAATTATTATAAGTAAATATTACTCAATAAAATTACTTAATGTTCCTTTTTTGTGAAGACACATAAAATTTAGTACTTCATAAACAAGTAGGACTCTACTTCCCTGACTAATTTTCATAAAAGCCCCCGACTTAATTACAAGGAAAATTCGCAGCTATTAATTACATTTCTGGTTAATTATTACATTCATAACATTTAATTAATTATTTCTATATGTATTTCTATTAGGTTTTGTCATTTGAATGAGGTCAACAACAGACGGAGCTAAACTTTGTCATTTATTGTTGAGTTCGCCTTGAAAATCAGCATGAAACACATATACTATATAAGATGGATAGCCGATGGTAATAAAAATGTAATATTAATAGAAGAACAAAAAATATTTATTTATTTATTTATTTATTTATTTACACTTTATAATTTCTTTATTTTAGTGAAAACGGGACACTTAACACCTTCGCGGACGTGAATGCTATAGCATTCATTTTCAGTGTGACGCGGAATGATATGAATGCTACAGCATTCAAAGTTTGAATTCAACTATTTGGAATTTATTTTTATATAACCTTACGTTTTTTTTAATTTTTATACCTGTGACTGATTCTTTAGATTTACGCATTATCTAGAATCTAGAATTTTCCTGTAGACACTAATTAGCTTGAGCAAGCAAATTGTGTAAAATAGAAGCGTAATACTTGACGTGGATGCTATAGCATTCATCGTGTACTCGTATATCGATTAAAACATGATAATCTGACCACCCTAAAGAGTGTTTAATCAAAATTGAGATATGACAACTAATTTAAAAGTAGAATGACCGTTAATTTTTATACCTTTTACATAAGAAAAGTTTTTTTACTTACATAAGAAAATTCTTATGGCATTTTAATATTATATCTATATTTTTTTATATATTTTATTAAAATTAAATGTTTCTTTGGGTCTTGGTATAACTAAAAGTGCCAATTTTTACCTTACACTTTTCTTTAACATTTTTAACACAAGACACTTTGGTCGATTTTATTTGAGAAATTGAAATAGGTGAATTACTCTTACATTATATGACTCATACAGCTCTACATTGTACAGATGTTAATATGCTTTTATTTCGTTTCTTCAAATTACAAATATTTTTCTAAATAGTTTTCCAAATATTTGAAAAAAAATTCAAATAAATTAGAAGTTCTCAAGTTCAATTCCTAAAATTTTCATTTATTTAAATTTTTATTTAACTAATTATTTAAAAATGAGTAATAAATTCAACTAATGAATTTACACTAGTTCATAAAAATACTGAGATTATAGTTCTAATTTTATATTTAAAATGTTAATTTATTATAATAAAATTATCATTTTTTTTCTACCAGCTTTCTTATTAATATAAACGATGACGCCATAAGGTAGGCGTTTAAAGCAATAATTCTCGATTCTAGGAAAAACGATATAAAATTGAAAAAAAAAGATATCCTAAGATAATCACTTATGTAGAAACTTATAATTTGAAGATGAGAATAAATTCTATCCATTTAATTTTTAATCAATAATTGAAAATGAAGACCTTTGCTGATTTCTTGATTGCCTGTGCATTCTTATTGGCTTAGTCACTTTTCATTCATGTTGTATTCATTTCTAATTATAATACATGAGGTGGATTCATTCATGAAACTATAAAAAAATAGCAATTATAAAATAGATAAGATATCTATGTAGTCTATGAGAAAAGTATTTCCCACAATCTAGTGTTTCTAGATGGCAACACAGTGGTTGACCGTCTTGCTGATAAGTTTTTTTTAAATAGTGATGTGAATATTGATTGCAATATTGCCCTGAGAGACGTTTTGTTGATATTATATTTGAGATTTATAATATTAACAGATAATGGGATATTACTACTATTCGATATCAAGCTGGCCAAGGTGGAAACCAGTTGCCAACCAACGTCCTCACCATGGGATCATGATTATCTCCAATTCAATTAAAAAATTCACTTGGTAATTTTAGAAACGTTTTAGAAAGTCTTACATTTCAGGCAAAAAACGATAATTTGATTCTTTAATTAAACGGTTTTTAAAAAAGTTACTTAAAGAAAAATGTCTCTAGAAGTTTTCTATCTCTAATTTAATTTGTATAATTTGTTTAAAAAATTAAAAAATCAATGTAATCATTTTATTGCATATTTCAATCATTGAACTTTACTTTTCATGAAATTTTAAGACTTTTCATGAAATTTTTCATAAGATAAAAAAGTGGTCTAAAAAGTTTAATTATATCCTTATATTTAAAATTATGTTTCTATATTTACTGTTTACTGATGTTCTCAAAATATATTTTCAAGTGAATGAAAACTTTCTGGTCATTGCTGCAATAACTATTAAGTCAAATATACGGATTTTATTTATGTAAAAACAAAATCACGATTAGAAAGTACTACCATTATGTCTAATAGTCATCTATAAAATGTATCAAAATAACTAAACATCTACATAAAATAGGCATATTGTAATTCATAAAGAAATGGAAGAAACTAGGCATAAGCAACATTATGCCTAAAGCAACTTGCATGAACTTTTTATAAAAAAGCACAAACTAATAGTAGAGTATGCTACTTTATAAGAAGTACTAATTTTAAAATCCTTAATATGGGTTGCAAATAAGAAGTTACGACCATGTGGTGAAAAACATTCGATCAAAATCTGCTATAAATATAAAATTTATAGTTCTACAAAGTAACCGATTTTAACAGTTAACAATCTACTAAGAAATAAAAATAATTTCGGATACTTTGTCTTCTGTGCCAGAAAGTTAAATAGATCAAACCATGGTCATATGATACCTACGATTTCATCTTTCCGCTTGGCTAATAAAAACTAGAAATAGAATCCTTTGATCAGATCACTTCTATTTCACTTGCTGCTACTAATGTATGCGAAACCTAATATTTGTATATTCAATATTTTGTTCAAATATTTGATCAGTGTTCAGATGTTTACTCGTGCTCTCATTGTTATAAAATACTGTGTACACATTGTGAAAGCATGTTTGAAAAAATAATAATTTGAAAGATTTTGCAAAGAATAATGATAATAATAAAAGGCTTTTACGTGGATTAAGAAAATTTATCAGTATCACGTTTTTTTTGTTTTTTTTTTATTGGCCGGGCTTACTTAGAGCATTTAGCCACCTACAACGTTTTTACTAAATACTAAATTTATTTATAGTATTGTTTATAGTATAGTTTAATACTAAATTTATCACATAGAGATAGGACAACCTTTTGGGTTTCCATCTACAAAGCTATGCTAAAGTCACAACACCTCATATTTGTCTTTGCTGTTAAAAATTACTAATATATGAATATATAATATATAATATATGAGTTATTCCCTACTATGTCCAATTGTTTTAGTAAATATTCTGTATTGTTAAATTTAAGAAATATATTATATTTAAGTATGAAAACTCGTTGATTAATAATGGTAATGATATGAACTATCTTATCATCAATGATATTACTTTTGTTTTTTTTCCATTTTTCATTTTTAGGCATCCAATTGCTTAAAAACTTTAAGGGACAATCATCATGAAAACTTGTTCTGTTTGAAACCATGTTAATGATCTTTAAATCTAGTTAGTTTATTGTCTTCTGTAGAATCCCTGTTTATAAAAATAAATGGAAAAAATCCAAGTTCAAAAATTTGCTGTTGATTACACCATTTACATATCAAATCTCAAATTCTAACTCTAACTGGCAATTCAAAACGATTCTGGAGATTATCGCCATCTTTAAAGTACCAATTCAAACTACAAGAAAGATCGTTAAGAATATTTGTTTCTTAATATTATTATTTACTAGTAAGGATTTTTTTAATTTGGCATTCTTAGAAAATAATCCTGAAGTTTTATGTCGAATTGAATATTATTAAACAAGAAATTTTAGTATCAAAAGGCAAATCTTGAAACTTCCAACTTAATCTAAAATGATTGAAGTCCTAGGAGTAAATTTTTCATTCAGGTAATTTTGATATCAAAGAGTCTCTTCTGCTAATAAATTGCCTTTAAATAATTATTTCATTATAACTATTTCATACAACTTTTCTTTCAACAGTTCTTATCTTTTCTATTTTCTGTTTCAAAATGTTCTTAAAAATTATTTTTCAATTCTCCAGAACTAATTTTTGTATTCTAACATTTAACTGCATAATATATGCTATCTTAGTATTTTTTTTCTTCTGGATATCTTTCTATTTCAATTTGTATATTATAAGATTTTGGAGTCCGAAAAATCATAAAATAGATTTACACTAATTACTTTGTCCATGAGTGAACACGTGAAAAAAAAACAGAAATACATAAATACAATCGTCAACGACAATATAAGTTTTGAGCACACAAAATACAAAAGAATTGTTTTTATTGCATTTTCAATTGTAAACAGTTTGTGTAACGCCTATTTTGCATACACCATGAACAAATTTTGATTCAGTGCCAAAATGCATCAAAAGAACTTATTAATCAAATCGTTTGCTTTGAACATTTGAACAAATTACATACTGTTAAAAACAAAAAATACTAATGTTTACGTTTATTATAAATTCGAATGAACAAAACTTCGCAGTTTCTGGTTAAATCTCTCCTCTTTATATCAGGATGTCCAATCATGAGATTGGCATTCGAATAAGACAAACTAAAGTTACTACTAAAAATAATGAATAAATAGTTTCTA